CATCTATTTATAACCTGCTCCTATATTCCCCCAAATTCTGATATCTCCATTTACAGGCAACACGCTGCCCTCATATGTGAAGTGGCCAAGCGGTCTAGACCCACCGATTTGGTCGTTGCATTGGGTGACTTCAATTTGCCTCAAGTCACTTGGTGTAACACTGATAATTCTGGCTGTTTGGTTCCTACTTCAACGTCTGATAGGGCTGTTGTGTTCTTTAGTGAATTGTTTGATCATAATTTGGGTCAATATAATCGTACCCCTAATTGTAATGGTAGACTGCTTGATCTCTGCTTTGCCAATTTTCCCGAGATTTACGTAAATCGTTGACCACCTTTTAGTTTACCTGAGGATCCTTATCATCCATCAATATGCATTTCCTTTCATCATATGAATGATGGTTTGTTGAAATGCCTTAATGTGCCAAATCAAACTTTTTTAAATAATTATTGATTTTCATAAAATCAATATTGTATTGCTAAAACATCGTCTTTCACATTTGACGCTTGATTTCCCAACCGGTAGTATTGAAAGCTTATTTTCATCGTTCTACAATACATTAGATCTAGATATTGCTGTGTCTGTTCCGATCAAGCAGTGTCGACCTCGAAGCAGTTGTCCCCCGTGGTTTAATAAGACAATTAAATATCACAAGAATAGAAAAAACTCCCTATTCAAAAAATATTCGAAAAATGGCTCTGCGGTCGACTATTTCGCTTACTCGGTGGCGAGGCATAGATTTAACTCCCTCAACCACCATTATTACTGCAGATACCTTCAGTTCATTAAATCCTCTCTGTTTGCTAATCCTAAATTCTTCTTTAAATTTGTTAACTCTAAAAGAAAAATTTCCACATATCCCTCTCATGTTTCTTTTAATGGCTCTGATTTCTCGGATTATATTGAAATCTCAAATCTATTTGCTGAGTATTTTCGACGAAACTTTTCGATTGCTAATTTCGATTTATCAGCAAACTACCCATATCCTATAACTAACTTGGTTTCAATACCTAACTTGGTTATTTCGGAAGATGACGTCTTTAGAGGGTTGAGTTTTCTAAAATACAGTTGTTCGCCTGGACCTGATGGAATTCCATTATGTGTACTTAAATCTTGCGCTGTCGAGTTATGTCGTGTGATCTCAAAGATTTTTGACATGTCGTTGTATTTAGGTGTTTTCCCTTCATGTTGGAAGAGTAGTTTCCTTATTCCTATCCACAAAAGTGGAAGTAGACAATTTGTTGAGAACTACAGAGGCATAGCCAAGTTGAGTGTCTTGCCCAAGTTGTTCGAGCGTATTGTGACTCAGCATTTGGCCTTTGCCATTAATTCGTATATTTCTCCGCACCAGCACGGCTTTCGGAAAGGGTGATCTACAGTCACCAACTTGTTAGAGTTTACCTGCCATGTTTTCAAGACTTTTTCTAGCGGCTCTCGCACAGACGTTATTTACACTGATTTAAGCAAAGCATTTGATATGGTTAACCATAGACTACTTATCTTTAAACTCCAAGCCTCTGGTTTCCCACCCTACTTAATGAAATGGATAAGCTCATATCTGCACAATATATCCTTCAGGGTTTTGTTTAACTTCATTACCTAGGGTGAATTCCCCGTTATGTCTGGCGTACCTCAAGGAAGTCACTTAGGTCCCATTTTATTTAGTTTATACATTAATGGTCTCCCATCGGTGGTTAACTCCAGCCAGATCGTAATGTATGCGAATGATTTGAAACTGTTTTCCTTCTTCTCTGTTGAATCGCAATCACATCAGGTCCAAGGTGACTTGGTATAATTTTGTTGGATGGTGCTCTGTGAATCTTCTGAAACTAAATATGAGTAAATATAAGAAGCTTTCTTTTTCAAGAAGAAAGTCATTCATTACTCAGTATTTCATAGATTCGCATAAGTTGGAGGACGTCGTTTCGTTCACAGATTTAGGCGTTCTATTTGACCATAGATTACATTTTAACTTGCACATTAAGCTCTCGATAAGCAAAGCTAGGTCCGCGCTTGGTTTTGTAAAAAGGTGGTTCAAAGAACTTGATGATCCCTACATTACGAAAAGGCTGTTCATATGCTTGGTTACACCCATACTCGTGTATGCCTCTGTTGTGTGGTCTCCTTCATATAGGTGCTATGTAGATTCAATTGAATCTGTTCAAGAGCAATTCTTGCTGTTTGCCGTTGGAAATTCGGTTTGGGATCCGATTGCCTCTCTTCCTCCCTACGAAAATAGGTTGCTTCTGCTGTCCTTACCGTCTCTTGAGAAACGTAGGTTTGTTCTTGGCGTTTCCTTTGTAATCAAAGTAATAAATGGTGCTATTGACTCGCCTTCATTACTTTGTGAAATAAGCTTTAATGTCCCTAATCGCTTCTCTAGGCACTTTATCTTGGTTAAGCTGAAACTAGCTTTTATCCTTAAAAATTCGTTACGATTCAAAAATGAATTATTGTTAATTATTATCGGTTGCCAGACTTGTGCATGTTTGCGATGGCTTAGGGGTTCATTCGCAATTTGGTCCAGTACCGGTTGTAAGTGTGGCTCTATGCTGATTGTGTACATGCTTTCTTCTTTTTCCTTCTTATTTGTCTTATTGTACTTATACTAAGTTTTATTATTAATTAATATAAGTTTTGCATTAAGAGCCAATTGAACTCGACTGTTATTTGTTTAGTTGAATTTCTAGTATAAGTAGAATAAATAAATAAATAAAAAGGCATGCTGATGTCTTGAGCCTGCCAATTATATTTCTTATGCGCCAGTTCCCGTCAGTAAATTTACCAAACCTATATTCTACAATGCTGCAGGTTTGTGTTTGTAAATAATTTTACAATCGAAAGACAAATGTTACAAGCAGCATTTATAAGAGCTGTAATTTGAAAATAAAATGAATTTTAAACACAATTGTTTACTTGGAACAAAAAATTTTTAATTTTTGAAAGGTGAGTAAATTAATTTTTTTTTTTTTTTGCTTTATACTCCGATCGTCTAAATAACGCTCGTAATTCGCCAAAGCTTGTAACCAATTATGTACCATTAACCTTTCCATACATCACGATAGACTGTCTACAGTCGCTCATCAATTTATGGAATATCTTGGTGTTATTGCCTATAATCCTAATCCATTTTACTAAATGAAACGAAAAAAAGTGGGTAAAATGTGGTAATAACAAGTGATGTTGTAATAATCAAGTAGTCTTGACAAATATATAAACATTAGGCTGAATTATTTTTTTCCTAATATTATATTATTTGGCCTCTACCGCCAAACGTCGAGATTGATGAAAAAGGAACCTTTTAACTCGTAGAAGCCTGCGAGACCCTCTTACCCACAACCCCTCTTACTTTACCCAAATATGTGTAATTATATCATTTTATACATTTGTCAAATTTAAAATACACATATTATTACATGCAGATTTTGGAAAACTTTCGCATGTCAAAAGAAGCCTTTGAAAACATTTTAGGAATAATCGGCGCGAGTGACTTCTTGTATTTTTAATGGTTTTGTGATGCGTTGCTGTACAAGACACGATGATTGAAGTATTCCTTATAATAATTGAAGCGGTTGAATCTTAGATGGTACCCACATTTATTTTAAAGTAGAAATTCGTTTTAAGATCTGTGGAAATTTTATGGAAATTAAAAATTAAATATTTATATAATACAAAACTAGGATCGATTCTTTAATATCCATAGTTGAATGTGTTAATATATTATATAAAATAATAAAAATGCGATATATATTCAAAGTCCACAATTCCAAATTTTTCTAAGAAACGAAAGTATGAAATTGTATGAAATTATGTCACGTCAAAAATTTTATATAATTTTTTTTCTTTTTAAACAAACAAACGTCAAATTTATCTCTTACTTTCCTATTATTTTTCCGAAGTGAATTTCAAATAGAGAAAGTTTCTCAAGCTACGCTTTCTAAATCACAGCTACTTCGCTAAAAAATACGTAATCAATCTTATTTTTTGCTTATAACATTATTTAAAGTTCGCAAATACTACAATTTGTTATAGTTGATGTTGTTAATCCACTGTTGGACTTCAATTTTTATTGCTAATGGAGAACTTTTGTTAATTCCTACAATTTCATCATACCATAAAAATCATTTGCTTCCATTCCGTACACACATATTTTGCATAATTTAGTAAAATTCAGATAAACATAAGTTGGTTGCTTATATCCTCTTTATTTCTTCAGAGTGAATGATCGATTCCTTATGTTTAGAAAGTGTTGACTCTTCATCTTTTTCTTATCAATATATATTCAACGAACTTAACAGCAAGCCAATAAATAGTTACTAATGAACGGATATTACATTACCTTCAGTGTTTATCAACCGTATGTAGCGCAATATAGACTATATGAATCAACAACGAAACGAAATTTCGAAGAAGTAGCTTATTATAATACCGTACATATATTTTGGCTAAGGTAACATATGTTGTATTGTTTGATACAAATTTGATAATACATTCTCTTCGTGTTGTTATCTTCACATCGATAAAGTTTTTATTGCAGATGCGCCATCAAAACCAAAATTGCCTGAAATTATTAACCAATCAGACGTGCATTTGAATCCAATTTAAAAGGTTGTTGGGGATTGTTCTCTGTCTCAATGTCATTGCATGACGAAATTGCGTTTTGCTTACTTTGAAGACGTCTAACTAGGAATTGTTTTGCGTACTGACAAGTGGTGAAAGGAAAAAAATACACAAAGTCTGGTGACAAATGAAAATTGTTTTAATTTATAATTAAAATATGCATACATATTTGTAAAACACTTAAATGTTTATATTAAGCGTGAGGAAAGGTGTTCAGCACTCTTATCGTGTTGTTAAAGCCTCGTTAAGATTCTGCATTTATAAGAACGTACAAGGAATGCCAAACAAAGCGGAATAAATATTTCCTGGGTCGTGTTTAGGTATTAAAACATTTATAAGGGATAATTACTGCAATTAATTTTGGCAACTCTGCTTCATTTGTATATCTGAAATTGCTTATATAGAGTTTAAGTCTTGCATTTGTGCTGCTTAGCAATAAGGGATGTTTTGTAAAATAGAAATTTGTCTTTTCGAAATTAAACATTTTAATTCAAAAGGAAATAACTGACTAATAAAGAAAGATTTCAATTTATTATAGTTTTAACAATCATGAATATGAAGTAAACTAAAAGCGACTTGGCTGCAAACTGTATATGCGGACAAGGAAGCAAACCAAATCCTTGATAGGAGGGTATCTTTTAGAATTCCAGTTTTGTATATAGTCGTGTGTACAACATATCAGAAGAACAATTAAGAAGGCGGTTTGTTTCAAGTGTTTCATCGAGATTTTGTGACATTTGTAAATAGTTAACGGTTGTGTGATACGTTGCATATAATAAGAAATATATAAGATATAAATATGTCAAATATACAACGCATCAAAAACATGGAGATTGTGGTAGATTGAAGACCTTTTGACCATCTATCTAATATAACTAAATGTCTGATCGTAGATATCGAATGGAATTTGCAAACGGACTCGCAAGGTAAATATTAACGTATTATGCACGTATTGTCGTTATATTTATATACATATATGTACGCATGGCTATGAATATATATAAGTGTAAACATATAATTATCTATAAGCAGAGGGATATTTTTGTGTATATATATAAGTTTGCGTTGGTGTGTGTATATACGTACGGAAATATGTATTTATAATTATGTGCTTATTCACTTATTTTTTGCGTACATACAGGCACATACTTTATTTATTTTTGCGAGTGAACGGAGTTTATAAAAGTATGGAGTTTAAACCAAGAATTTTACATGTGCAAACCCATCTAGAAGTGTTAACAGAAAGAGAAAGATATGCAGCTCTTGTGATTTTGGAAAAATTGTGATTTATATGTATACCAAAAATTTTGAAGTTATGGAATATCGCTTGCGTATATAGTGTTAATATTATTTACTTCTTTACATGTTAACGACTTTAATTTGAGGGAGGTAAATGTGTATAATAAATACAGGAAAAAGTTCATGCTGTTGTTTTTCCACCAACCTTTAAACAAATTCGCTTGTACTTTCAATGAACTTTGTTAAGCTGAATCGACAAACTGGTGCCATTTTCTTGATAAAGTCATCATGGCATTACTGAAGAACTTGTGGGATTTCTGGTCAAAGACCAGAACCAAGTGATTTGCACAGGTGTCTTTTGAAATTAATTCTGCACTATTACACATTACAGGGATAGCGAAACAAAGGGGGTAATGTCCGAACTACGTAGTGGATGTTACCTCCAAGCCGAACTCTGAATTTTCGACGTGCTATTTAAGATGTGTGAGTCAAAAAGACAGCGTATTTCCAAAATATTAATTCTCGGAACATCATCTTAGTGCGGGGTTTACTCCAATGAGTTCCTGATGGTGTCGAATGCAATTAATTGTCTAGAAAGATTGAAGCAGTTCATCCTACACAATTCACTTTTTGCTAAACAAAACATTATCTCATTCTTATTTAACGTCAACTTTAGCTTTGCCACCGTTTCTCATTTTTCATGCGTTCTGGATCACAATCTTTATAGCGCATTTCGCATGTGATGCATTTTTCATTGTTTATTATCAAACACTTCAAATATGGCTCGATTTGGTTCCGTTCCAACAGCATTTCAAAAATGAAAATTCAGCCTGGAAATTATTTTCGATTGAACAGATGCAATTGTGGTCTATCTCCAGCATGTTATTATGGTAGGGCTTGACACATTTAATCTTGTCAAACTTGACACAAAAGCTATCTATTATGAAAAACACCATGAAATTATGTTCTTGAGCCAATTGTACCATTTAATATATGATATATTGATCCTTGGGTTATAGCATAGTATTTTAGGTTCTAAAGATGAATTTTTTTTGTTACCAGTACGTAAACAAAAAATGCATATAGACACCAAGAAGTTGACTTCGCAAAGCTGGTCTATACAGGCTTATACTCGAGTATTGAAACTTCTCACAGACTTCGAATTTCTTCGAAAGAATTAAAAAATTGGAACAATCTGAAAACACGAAGGAACTCTTACATTTACTTACTTATTTTATTAGTATTGATACTATATTATTAGTATTTATATTTGTTTGGAGAGAAACTATGTATTCTTTTTAGGATTTACTATTGTATTTCTTAGTTGGTTACAGGCTGATTAGGTCAGTTATCACAATAGATATAGTTTCGATAAAACTAATTTCTGAACATATGTATTAGATTAGGCTTTTTTTTATCGTTACTATATGCTATAATTATTGAGCAATTATGTTGTCACCGTATAAATAGTGCTGTTGATATCCTAATAGACCGAGCAAGGGCGAGTGCAATGTTTAATTACATAGATAGTTTAAAATAAATTGTAAGCCTTCGTCAGTATCAAAAAGCGAATATTGAACCGAAGCTCAAACTTGGCATATATATAATACATGTGTCGATAAGTCTTGCGACAAGATAGGAATAAAGTATTTTTGTTGTGTGTAAAATTGGGCTCAACATGGTCCTTTTCAGGAATAAAATCCGTTGAACGCTACTCTGCTCTAACGTTTTGTTGTATTTCTAGGGTAAGAGTTATCAAGACTCTCAAAATAAGCATTGCACTTACCCTTTGGTGCATCTCCGTTTTCTGGAATATCTTTTTAAGATTTGCAAACAGCTGATAGTAATATGTATAATACGATGAATGGGGGATCAATACAAGCAATTTGTATTACGTTTGTTGGGCTATGACTACTGTGATATTCATTCGGGAAACAGCTTTTTCACGCCAAATTTTTATGCAAAATTTTGAAATGCAATTTCTTTTTTTTATTTCGATTTGTAGTGTAGCAATCACTTTTGTACATCCGTTATCTGAAAACGAGCAAACCAATAAAAGTGTCTGCGTTCGGCTTACCAAGGAATTTCGAGAGTTTTCGTTTGAGCGTTCGTACTTTTTTAAAATATTGAATTTTGTAGGTAAAGCAAGCTGCATGTATTAGTCCCAGAAATTACTGATTTATCTGTTGTATTAGGTTGATAGAAGTAGATCAATTTCGAAAACGGGCATAATTCGCCCATAATCATCTTTTCAAAATGTATAAAAATCGTAGTCTTCAATTATGGAAGAAATTTATTGAAATCTCAAAAACGCCTACCAGAGCCATTCTACAATTTGAGTGTAAAGATAGCTTTTTGTTTTTTACACCCCACACCACTTGTAGTCAGGATGTGCTAAATTTATGCACAGATATGCTACACAACGATGAACTTAAGGTAGACTCATCTTTAGCGATTTTATAAACCAATTTAAGCCTACTTGCCCGTTCGATATCTCGTTATGTATTCTCGTGTTCACCTTATATGTTTATATTTGAGACATTTTGATAAAATTTTGTGCTTTGCTTATTTTAACCCAAGGAGAGGTCTGTTTTATGACCATTTCCCATATAACGCTTCCTTTACCAGGGTAGTTATACAAAAAAAATTGCAGTTTTTAAAACTTCATGATAAAAATCTGTGAAATCGGTTTTTCTAGCATACTAAATGAATTCGGAAACTTTGGATGGGATGAGACCATTTTTTTAATCCTTTTTACGGTTTTATAAATCTTTATATGCTATGGAAGTCTAACATATAGTATTTTAAGTTTAATATTTTTCCAAAATAGTAATTTTGAATTCAAGCGTCCTGTAATACGTCTTATGGAAAGCACGCCTTTATAAGGTAGATAGGTTAAGAGTCTATCATGCTCAATTGTACCACTTTAATTTATTTGTATACCCATCGTAAAAAGTTGAGGGGTATTTTCATTTTGTCAAAGGTTTTGCATCCAGAACCGAGTCCGAGACACCCCGTAAAGCTTATACACTTTTGATCAACATCTAATTCTAATCCGATTTAGCATGTCCGTCTGTGTCGTGTCTACGGTAAATATTGTTACGGTCGGAAAAAGCAAGCTATCGGTTTCAAATTGGCACGCAGGTTGGTATTGAAAATGTGGCAAATTGGTAAGAGCACTCGCCCACACTAAAGCGTAAACTGGTCACATATTTTGTTTGTTTTGGCTTTTTATTTGTAAATTATTAAAGATAGAAGCCTGAAATTTTTTATATTTACTTTGTGGAGGATTCGTACCTCCTTCATTTAATAAAATGGAAAAAATCGACCACGCTCTTACAAAGTTATGTGATCAAATTTTTCTTTAATATTTCTTAATAGTTGAATTGAGAATTAATTCTAAAATAAATATTGTGGACTTCACAAGGTGGAGGATTCGTTTTTCCCTAGCAGTATAATCAGTTGGGTATCAAATAAAAGGACTTGAAGAGTAGAGTGCGGCAAGTTAAGTGCGTTAATTGTAAATTACATATCGCAGTCACGACGTAGTGCAGCAATTTAATCTCCACAATCCAGCCGATATAGACCTCAAATAAATAGACTTAGAGAGCAGATATATATGGCAAAACGGCGATGGACACTAAAGATTCGGTCGCGGCCGAATATAAGTTTCTTATTTGTTTTACTTTAACTTGCTAGTTTCGCACTAATGTATTGGGTATTTTTTTTGTAGAATAAAGTATTTATACTTTCCTGTAGTATTTTCGATGCAGACAAATCATCGCGCATTTTACAGAGCTCTCCTATATTATAATGTAGGGAAATAACTTTTTTCATTCAATATAGTTTCCTCGGACATATCGAGTAACCAAAATTTAAAAATATATTACATATTTTTTAACCATAAACGTCTACGATTATCTACTAACATCTGTACGCTCGTGTTGTTTCGTAGGTAAAATAAAAGTAATAAGCTTATTTGCCTTGAAGATAATGGCTACATCAGCGGTATTATCATCACAAAGTCTGCACCACCACCATTTAAAATCCGAATTGCCATTAATACCTGCACGGCCCAAGATCGTAAAACACCTGAAATGTTATAACAGAAGTGATGTTTACAAAAATGACAATACAGCTTGCAAAAATTTACCGTATATGTGTAGCATAGAGGATAATACCAAATTTCTTTTTTTACCACGACGTTCAATTTCGAAATCATCGTCACTGATCCAGTCCCATTTGACATCAGCGGCATCTACAAAAACCCCTTTAAAGTTTATAGAACAAGCTCCATTGGTAACGGTAGACTCGCCATTGCACCCAATATGCAAAAAATCTTCCTCAGATCCAATATTATGTTCGCATGTTTCTACACAAAAGCAAAGATGCTTAACTTGTGGTAATACTAAGCAATATTTTAGAAAAAAGATGTATAATCATGCAGTTTTTTCACACGCGGAGCCGACATTGTCTACACTGTCCGCGAAAACGTCACCCTCATTCTCATGGGCAAAAGAAGAGAGCTATGTAGCCACAACAACTCTTAACACAACATCAGAAACTACTGATAGTTCACGACTGGAAAGTAGTGCAATGACTCAAATTACTTCAAAGGAAAAACATCATGGCAGCGACGGCAGCGACTGCTCCCTAGGATTACCCTTACACTTATTTTGTTATAAAAACAAACGTAAATGCTATCAGTTTAAGCAGAATACGAATCGTCGAAAAGACGAAGCTTTAAGAATATACTTTATCATTTTCTTAGTACATCATATTAAGTTATGGTATCGGTTTATAGCTGCTACAGCTTCTCCTAGAATCCTAAATCAACATTCAACATTAACAAGTCATCAAACAGTTACCGCAATGATAAAAGAATCAGATTCTACAAGTACTTCAGCAACATCACGGAAAACACTACGTTTATTACCTCGACTTGGAGCAACATCATTTTTTACGCTTGTAACCATCATTTGTTTAGAAACGATTTTACTGTCCACAATGTCTACTTGTGCAAAAACATTCTATATGCACTGGAATACTTCAAACAGCATGTAAGTACGCCTACCAATTAATAAAAATATATATGGCATTTACTAATCTTTCGTATTTAGACGTTTTACAAGGCCTATAATTATGAGAATGCTCTAAAGCTCAAATATCTTTCCTTCGAATATATATAAACCAAATTTTAATCGAGTTCTATCGCTATAATTTTTAGAAGCTTAAAAAACTCAATCCTGTGCGTGGCAATGATGAAAAAAACTTCTGGATTCGACACGAATCATAATGGCAACCTTACTGGTTGTTGTTTATTACTTAAGGTACGGTGCAGTAACCAATACACTATTGGAATCCATTCTTAAGATTGTTTCTTGAAGATTGTGATCTTTTTTTTTTATTACCTCACTATATTAGTATAAAGAACCTCTTAACAGTTAGAAATATCTGGGATAAAAGATTTAAAAATATTAATAACAACAGATAAAGAAGAAAGTCGGAGGGCTAACGCGTCAGTTAGAATCTACGTTTGCATCGAAATCCTTAGGGTTTTGTAAAAGTTTTAGTTAAGGTTGGGTTTTCTACTTCGTTTTGACATTTCTTTTAATCTCTTGAAACTAATATATAGACATACATGTGTTTTGAAACTAAGTTAAAAAAAAAACTTTTTTATGTTGTCTTTAATGTTTGCGACTTTAACGTGTTCAAAGTGGTTGAGGGGGTAAGTTCATCTTATCTTCGAACAAGCATGTGAGTTGGCGTATTTGCGATCACACATTTAATGCCCAAAACATCTCAAACGATTGCAAGAAATGAGCCGATCGATATATCGACAGCCTCAGCAACTTCTTTAATAGTGATGCGACGATTGTGTATAACAATTTTCCTCACTGCTTCAACGTTTTCATCCGTTATTGTCATGCTGTGGCGTCCAGGGCGCCAATCGTCATTAATATCTTCTCGACTTTCTGTGAAGATCTTTTAGCACTCGTAAACCTTTTTCTGTTCAAAGGAAACTCGTCAAATGCCACAGTCAAGATTTTAAGTGAGTTGGAGCGCTTAATTTTATTTTTCACAAAAATTTTAATACGGAATGATCCATCTTTTTTTATAAAAAAAAATCGCCAAACACCCTAAAACACGTTACGTTTATCCAAAATAATTCAGTTTTAATAGTTCGCAATACTCTGCACCTTGCTGACCTTACCATATGCATAGTAAAACTATGGCCATCAATATTCCTCATCGGTGTCAACATATACACCTCTCTTGGAGTTATTGTAGTAACTCTTCATTGCCAGTCGCAACACGCCACAGAAAAATGTCTGTTTGCAAGCCATGAAACCGCTATGTTGGAATGGTTCGAAGTGAGATTTTCAATCCATTCGCATGGTACCCGTTTTCCCTCCTTTTGTCTGGAAACAGTCGATTCATCATCAGCTGTTCGAAAGTTTTTTGGAAGTTTGAGTTGAGTTTTCACCAAGTGAATCTTGCAATTCATCTTCTTTGAATTTTTTTGATCCTCGGAGCTGTTTTTCGTTTTTTTAAATGAAAACCATTACTTTTAAACCATTGAAACCAAAACCGACAATTGGGATATGATGGAGCAGCATGACCATAAGCTTCGCTAACCACGTTTGGGTCTCGGCAGCAAAACTTTTCCAAATCCAACAACAAAAGTAATGAATGTCGAAAATGCAATTTTGAGCGTTCTAAGGTTAGTGTCTGTACACACTGAATAACTTAATTATACTAAATGGAAAACCATTACTTTATGTACAAAAATATTAAAACCGTCAAAATTATTTGTTGTGGACATTGATACTTCGCATTACTTTATCATTTTCACCAATCGCTACCGCTCATCAAAATACATGCAAGCACCTAATAAATTTCCTTCGAACTTTGGAAAAGATTTTGGAAATATGCTTTATACAAAAGTGTATCTTTATTACTGCTTATCTGTAATTCTTCATCTTCAAATATGTGTGGGCCATATATGCGATCATCGTTTTTTAACCAGAAGTATTAAATAATAAAACTAACGCTTCCCGCAAATACAGTTTGTAAGGGTACCTCCTCCCATTGACGTCACTCAATCTACTCAGGTGTCATCGTCTAGAGCTAATAATGAGAATAGCAAATTGTCCTCTCCCCCTGGCTGTTGGAGTGTGAACGTTGGTCGCCAAAGTGGGCACGTCGTACAAACTGCATGTGCAAGTTTGCTTACCCCTTCTATATTCTTTCCAACTCAAAACTCGCCGTCCGCTACTAGTACAGATGACAGTTCGTCCCAAAAAAGCAATATTTGTGTCAAGACTGGCGCCTGATAAATCTATGGCTAACATAAAAACTTACCTGGCGGTGAAAGTCGCATCTGTGTATTTAAAGCGTGTTAGCATTTTCAAAATGGCTTCTTCTCAACCTAGAGCAATCTCGTCTTTTAAAATTCTAGTTCTGACTGATAACATGTATATGTTGTTAAATTAACCATTGTGGCCGGTTGGATTCTTAATTAAAGAGTTTATTTCTCGCCATCGACCCCCTAATACTAATGCAGTAGCCCTTTTCCCTTCAAAAAACTAAATATTTCTTCAGGCTCATTATCTCTCATTTATCAAAATGTTACGGGGCCTAAATTCAGTGAGCACGGAGTTTTCCTGTTAAAGCCTGATCTACATTCGTCGGAACTTTTCCATAATTCGTTTCAGGTTTTTAGAAATGATCGATTGTATCGCAATGGTGGTGGTGTTTTAATTGCTATATCTACGACAGTCCCTTCCTATTCAATTGATTTTCCTACTACTTCCGACGTTGAATTTATCGTCATTCGAGCGAAATTTCCTAATAAATACTTATATGTAACCTGCTCCTATATTCCCTCAAATTCAGATATCTCTATATATAAGAAACAGGCCGCCCTCATTTGCGAAGTGGCCAAGCAATCTAAACCTACCAACATAGTCATTGCGTTCGGTGACTTCAATTTGCCTCAAGTCACTTGATGTTACAGCGTTAGTTCTGGCTGTTTGATTCCAACTTCAACATCTAATAGAGTTGTTGCGTTCTTTAATGAATTATTTTATCATAATTTAGATCAATACAATCGTATCCCTAATTGCATGGTGCACAGCTAGGTCATTGCTTCGCCAATTTTCCTGAGGTTTGTGTGAATCATTTCTTCCTTTTAGTTTACTTGAGGGCCCTTATCATCCAGCATCAGGTATTTCCCTTTATTACAAGCATGATGGTTCGTTAAACTTCTATAACGTTCCGAATTCAACTTTTTTAAATAAATTTTATAATTTTTATAAAATCAATATTTCAATTCTAAAATCACATCTTTCACATATGCTTGATTTCTCAGTTGGAAGTGTTGATAGCTTACTGTCGTCGTTCCACCATATATTTAATCAAGCTATTTCTGCATCCGTTCCGATAAAGCAGTCCCGTCCTCGAAACAGGTGGTATAATAAGACAACTAAATACTAAAAAATAGGAAAAACAAACTTTTCAAAACACTTTCGAAAAGTAGTTCTTTCGACTATTTCGTTTACTCAGTAGCAAGGCATAGATTTGATTCACTCAACCACCAATATTAGTGCAGATACCTTGAGTTTATTAAGTCCTCCCTGTTTGCTAATCCTAACTACTTTTTCAAGTTTGTTAATTCCAAAAGAAAAATCTCCTCCCATGTTTTTTTTAATGGCTCTGAGTTTTTGGACGATATTGAAACCTCAAATCTCTACGGAAAATTTCCAACAAAACTTTTCGACTACTAATTGGTTGTTTCTGAAAATGACGGTTTTGAAGGGTTGAGTTCTCTAAAATATAGTTGTGCGCCTGATGGAAATTCATCATGTGTACTGTGAGGAGCCAAAGGCGTACTTCGTTTTGGCCACACGGGTTCTCCGTCTCTGGTGGGAGAGAGAGAGTGCTAGTTCAAGTTAGGGAGTAAGTTAGCAGAGCAACAGAGTAAGAATAGAATAAGAAGACGATAGGAATAGGGTGAGAATAAAATAGGGATAGATTAGGAATAGAATAAGAATAGGTTAGGACTAGGGTAGAGCAGAATAAGTTAGAATAATTTAAAGTTAGTCTTAGTTTGACGGTCTTTGAGAGCGAGTCTTAGTTTGTTATTAGTCGTTTATTATATACCATTACAAAATTAAAGAGTGAATTATACAGGTCCCTTTGAATACAAATTTCCTTGTGTTTTTCTGGGCCGCTGAGCTACCCCAGCCCCTGAGATTGGGCCGGAACGCCCTTACAGTACTTAAATCCTGCGCTGTCGAGTTATGTGGCGTTATCTCAAAGATATACATTCAATTGAGTCCGTTCAAATGCAATTCTTGCTATTTGCACTTAGGAATGTGGGTTGTGACCCAATTGCATACCTTCTTTTTTAAACTCCAAACTTCTAGCTTCTCTTTCTATTTAGTAAAACGGATAAGGTCTTATCTGCACAATATATCCTTCAGGGTTTTGTTCAACTTCATCGCTTCGGATAAATTCCCCATGACATCTGGCGTAGCTCAAGGCATCCACTTAGGACCCATTTTATTTAGTTTATACATTAATGATCTCCCATCGGTGATTAATTCCAGCCAGATCTTAAATGTGAAACTATTTTCTTCCTTCTCCGTATAATCGTAACCACATTTGCTTCAAAGTGACTTGGACAATTTGGTTGCAAGGTGCTCTTTGAATCTTCTGAAACTAAATCTAAATAAATGTAAGAAGCTCCCTTCTCAAGAAGAAAGTCATTCATTACTCAGTATTTCATTGATTCGCATAGTTTGGAGGACGTCGATACGTTCACAGATTTAGGCGTTCTATTTGACCATAGATTACATTTTAACTTGCACATTGAGCTCTCGTTAAGCAAAGCTAGGTCTATACTTGGTTTTATAAAGAATTGATCCAAAGAGCTTGATGATCCTTGCATTACGAAACGGCTGTACATATGTTTGGTTAGACCTATACTTGAGTATGCCCCCGTTGTGTGGTCTCCTTCATATGGGTGCTATGTACATTCAATTGAATATGTTCA